ATCATCATTCCTGAAACCAACCTTCAGGGTTTAGACAATTCTTCGTCTATCCCTAGATCAATCTATAGTAGGGCCGAAGAAGAAACCACAACTGAAATCCATTCCCCTACTCAATCTGAAATGCAATATGGTCATCTATGAATAGTTACACCATAGATAAACCATCCCTTCATAAGGAATTTTACTCTGATGTTTGGACAACTCAGAGGAAGTGGTTCCTTAGTAATTTTAAGGGTGACCGTAGGTCAGATATCATAGATTCATTCTATACCTTCCTCAATAATGTCCAAACCCATGTTTGTTTCTTCGATTGGTTAAATGTCTACCTTCGAAGGAATAATATCCATCCACCTTGGGTTATTACCATCACAAAAGACCATTTTGTCAATACACTTACTGTTTGGCACCGTAAGGACGGTAATTTGGTCAAATCTGACCTTCCGCCTAACAGTAGTTATTTTATCCCAAACTTAGAAGACAAATACCTAGCTTCGCCCTTTAAGCCAATTTAATTGGTGGAATTAATTTGATTGGTTTTAATTATACTTTTTATACAAACCAACCCTACTCCACCTCATAAGCCAATTTAATTGGTGGAATTAATTTATTAATTTAAATGAAATAAAACAGTCACATCAATTGATATCGAAATCCTATTATACGTGAAAGAGAAACTTACTTGTAAAATATTCACGGAATCATATATAGAAAAGGATTGATCTAATAAAATTTATTATTGAGGAATTCGATCTAATTAAAAATTTAAGTTACAAGCTTGTAAAGGTGTTGTATTGCCAAGATATGTTTTGACTTAGTTTTAAATTAAATTTCATAATGCTTAGACAACACACAAACTTATTTAACCTTATTTTTGAGATCACATACTATCAGATAGGACTTCCCCTGAAAGCAATTCAACTGGTATATCATTCTGAAAAGTATATAATTATGCAAGTATTTTTAAAATGAGAAATAAGCCTTAGAAGACTATTGTTTCAGTCAAGAGTGCTAACCACATATTATTTACCATACTCTTCAACAAACTCATTTTCATTTAATTTTTATAAAAAAATGCTAGTAATATATACTCAGATACACTCTTTCAAACATTCTCTCTAATTGTTTGAAAATTAATTATTAAAAAACATAAATTTGATAAGTCTCGCACCTTTTTAGTTATTATCATCCTTTTTATTTATAATTTATTAAAAAATATAAAATTAAGAAAAAAGTCATTAAATAAAATGTAAATTATCTTATTAGCTTTAAACTAATTAAAAATATATATATTTAAAAAAAGTGACTCAGAGAATGCGTTGGTAACATTTCTCATGAAGTAATTAAGTAACCTTTATTAATCAATCAAAATCCAAATTAAATCTGCCCTAGTTGATACTCAGATACGCTCTTTCAAACATTCTCTCTAATTGTTTGAAAATTAATTATTAAAAAACATAAATTTGATAAGTCTCGCACCTTTTTAGTTATTATCATCCTTTTTATTTATAATTTATTAAAAAATATAAAATTAAGAAAAAAGTCATTAAATAAAATGTAAATTATCTTATTAGCTTTAAACTAATTAAAAATATATATATTTAAAAAAAGTGACTCAGAGAATGCGTTGGTAACATTTCTCATGAAGTAATTAAGTAACCTTTATTAATCAATCAAAATCCAAATTAAATCTGCCCTAGTTATTTCCTTGAAATTACATTAGCCTAACTTTGTCCCATATATAGTTATTGCCCCCTCTAGTCCAGTTTCTGCAATTGTGCCAGTTTTGAAATTTCTACACATTAAAATACTAGATTGGTTCCTTACACCAAACGAATCTTGTTGACTTGACTATAGTGCCATCAATATTCATTTATTTCTCTCTGGCATTCACTATTATTTCTCTCTCTCTCTCTCTTTCTTTTCATCATTATCTTTCTCTCCAAGTACTAAATAGATTAATTTCTCTCTTCTCTGAACTGGCATCGAACCTTTTGATATCTTTGTACGTATATCAACCTTTAGAACACATGTTCTTGTTATTTTGTTTTGTATCTTATAATAAGAGAAATAATTTTTCTTTCATTTTTTCTTTCGTTTATGCTTGCAGCTTGTGCCAGATGTACGTACCGGAATGGTGAATGAACCGACGACAAGTGCTGAATTTGAGAAATTCGCATGGAGAATCGATGATTTCCGCAACCAGAATGTAATGAAATTGCGTTCAAAGTCTTTCAAAATCCGAGGCTGTACATGGTACCTCAAAATGATCATTTTTCCGTAGTTCAGATTTTTTGTTTATTTTCAGATACCCACATTAACAAAAGTGAAAATAAGGCTTCAACAAGTTTAGATTATGTAGTGATTTGCTTACCTTTTTTAAAAAGAAAGAAAAATTGAACCGTATAATTTACTTTTATCTGTGCTATGAAGAGAGAAAGCCATGCATGACTAGGAGAAATTAATGACCTTAATTTGGATAAAAGTTAATGAAAGTTTTGTGTCTTCATCATGTTACAGGAAGATCCTTGTGTATCCACTGAGGAGAGACGTGAACCATTTTTCAGTCTATTTGATGGTTGGTGATTCTTTGCCACCGTATGGATGGAGTAGAAACACGTTTTTCAAGTTAGTTCTAGTTAATCAGGTGGATCGGAAGAAGTCAATTGAAAAATGTATACTTTCCGCTCTTAATTTTTTCTATTTTGACTAAGTTTTAATATTCTATTTTGAGATTTTTTTTTCCTTTGTAAATAAGTAAATTTCTCCAAAAATATTTTTAGAATTTAAAAATAGAAAGAAAATAATGAAATTATTTTTTTATATATATAACCTAAAGTTAGCTTATATACACATATAAATTAATTTGTAAAATGTCTCTTTTATTAGTTTCTTTAATATCTTATTTTTAATTTACATATAAATTAGTTTAAATTTAAAAGAAAGATTTATTTTTGATTTTTCTTTCCAAAAGCTGTTTCTGGAAAAAATTTATTCAACCAAATTCTATATCTGTGTCTTGATTCTTGATGTATATTTGTGATTTCAGTAACTCAACAAAAGTTCAATGGAGGACATCGTAGCTGGGGTTCATTTTTCTTGAATCTCAGTGATTTCCACGATCATAAACAAGGGTACCTTGTGAGGAACACATGCATCATTGAAGCACACATTTGTGTCTCCGATATAGCACAAAAGACTCTAGTTTACCCAAATTGTTCTCCAACCCATGATTCTCTACCAGGTGGTGGTCATGATCAAGCAACAGAATCATCCTCAGATGACAGAGACAGTAGCATTAGTCCCAGAACCTCAGGATCAAGTTCAGCAGAAGGAGAAGCTCGAGGTTTGACACTAAGGGAACTCATAGACTTGGAGAGTTTAGAGCCAGAAGAAGCAGCATTCATTCCACTCTTGGAAGAGGTTTGCATATGGCACCCTAACCTGATACAATGTCAGAAGAAAAGGAGTGTGAGGTTTAGACAATGGGCCTTCACATCTTTGGGCCAGGTTTTGCACTTCCTCAAGACTAAGAAGGTGAAGGACATGAGAGATGAGGACATAAAGTACCTTGATGGTTTGTGGAAGGAACTGGTGAAGTCCTCAGGGTTTGACCTGGCTTGGCTGCAGCCATATGTTGAATCAGCTTTGGGGTTGAAAGCTTACATGGAAAGAGCAAAGCAGCTGAAGAAACTTAAGGACAGTGTGGTTGGTTTGGAGATCAAGATGAAGAGGCTCAGGGGGGAACTGGCTAATGCTGAAAAGGAGTTTGACGTTGCAAGAAGAGGCTTGTCTGAAGTGAGAAGGGGTTTCAATGAGATGGATGTAAATGCTGCAATTGGTTATGCCATGTTTTAGGAGGATCTGTTTCTTATTTAACGAATCTTTCTTCTAATTTTGAAATAGGTCCAATCTTTTGAAGAAATTTTAATCAATAGTGAATAGAATATTAGAAATTGGGTGTGGATAGTATTTCTGTTTAGTCATATTGTTACATGTATGAATCTTAACTAGGTGTAGTGAAGAGCATGCATGCACAAGTTTCCATTTCTAGTTCTGTACGTACAAATTATGCTGAGACAGTACTGGCTTGGGTATATATATAGCTGATAAATTTTTTGTTAATTAAGTTAATTTTTATTGTAGATGTATATCTTTCTAATAAGGATGGTTAGTTAAGTTATGTTTAATTTTTCTTTTATAAGAAGGTGTATTTCCTTCTAATTAAGTACATTAGTTCTTATAAAAATAAAATGATATTTTTAATTGTAATTCCATGTATAAGAGAAAAATTAAATTTTGACCCTTAGTTAAAGAATTAAAGTGCAGAACCACTTGATTTAATGACTTTTGGTTAATGATAAATTTACGCTGCATGTTTTTTTCTCTTCCTAATTCTATATTACAAATACTACCACTACTAGAAAAGTGTCATTTTTTTGTGAATTTTCTTGTGAAAAAATATTTGCAGAAATTTTTTGCAAATTTTCCTGCAGAAAAATATTCGGAAAATTTTTTTGCGAATTTTCCTGCAAAAAAATATTCGCAGAAATTTTTTGCGAATTTATTTGCAAAAAATAACTTACAGATATTTCTTACAAATTTTGCTACAATTTTAATAATCATAGAAATTTTTTTCCATGGTAAAAATTTGCAGGAAATATTGTAAGAATTTTATGTTGTTTCTTGCAAATTTTCTTGCAAAAATAAATTCGCAAGTAATGTTTACTAAATGGTAGAAAAATTTTAATCCGCAGGAAAAATAAAAAAAAAATTAAATTTATAAATTTAATATTTTAAAAAAACTTCAAGTCCCACATCGACTGAAAATAAAACAACTAAAGAGTATATAAGTTGGGAAACAAATTAAATTATAAGTTGATTTGTATGGTTGAGTGTTAAGCTTATAATCTACAATCTTAGAATTTAAAAGATTATGTATCACATGTTAGAAGCATGGAAACAACAGGAAACTTTCATGCAATTTTTTTTTGCAGGAAACTTTCCTGCGAATTTTTTTCGCAAGAAATTTTGCAGGAAAATTTCCTACGAATTTTAAAATTCGCAAAAATATATTATCCACGAAGGTATTACCTGCAGATACAATTTCGCAGAAAAATTTGTAGGAACAACGTTTCCTGCAAATTTTTCATAAAAATTCGCAGGAAAAGTCGCATGTAATAAGAGAGATTCTAGTAGTGTACGTGACTAATAATGAGTTTAATTATAAGACATTATTAAAGAAAAGATTTAATTTATATACTATCATCATACTATAAATTATTTTAAATATGACTTTTAAATTAATAATTATAAAAACTGATTATTTTAAATTATATATGTATATATGGAAATTCATGATTTGATGATAAACATTTATATTTCAATTAAATTTATAGTAAACTTGTGATCACTCTTTTTTTCCTTTCATTATTGTTTGTGGAGGATTTCGTTCGTAGGTTCTTTTTGTTCGAACTAGCACGAGTTCACGTTTCAATTTATGCGTGTTCGTGACATGACAGAATCAAAAACTTTCCGTGAAAGAATAAATTCGTACAAGCAACGAATAAAGTTAAATTAGGGTGTTGTTACAGCACGTCAGAAGATCTATGCTCATTGTTTCGAGCACTTCAGAAGATCTATCCTGGTTTGGCACATCAGAAGATCTATGCTCACTATTTCGAGCACGTCAGAAGATCTATGCCAGTTTTAGCACTTCAGAAGATCTATGCTTGTTTCAGCACATCAGAAGATCTATGCTAATTGTACAATCAAATTCATGCATATAAGAATTAACGTGAATTGAACAGATGACATGTATATTGACTGCAGAAATCATATCTTTCATTAAATGGTAACAGAATTACAATTCGTAAGGATAACGAAACATGTTCAGAATGACTAACACTACACTAGACTAGATTATTCTATGCTACGCTACTCCTAAAAAAGGAAAAGAAAAGTGGTCGAGAAATCGTACCCAAAGCTATCTCGTATGCACAGTATGCCTTATGCGCCGGCTGCGGAGTGCGTGTGAGGTATACTGTGCATACGAGACAACTTTGGGTACAATTTCTAGACCACTTTTCTTTTCCTTTTTTAGGAGTAGCGTAGCATAGTAGCGGTCGATGTTGAGGGGCTTCCATCCAAAAGGGAGAGGTGTCTCCATGATGTCGTCGACAAAGGGGTGACAGCGGACCTGTGTCTTGGAGCCTGGGCTGGTGCGTTGTTGACTTCGTGGTCTGATCTATACGTCGGTACATGTGACCGATGTGCGGTAGACCTATGGGTCGTCGCCTTGGGCGCAGTCGGTGGCGGGGAAACCGAATGCCCTTCTTCCTCATTTTGGTTGCTTGGTTGAGGGGGTTGATCTGGGGGGCGCTAAGGAAGCTGAGCGCGGATGTGCTCATTCTCAGCTCGTAGCGCCGCTAGGTTGGCTTCGTGCCGGGCGCGCATGTTCTCCAGGTCAGCGGTATGTTGTTGTCACATTTGATCGACTTGCTCGATCAGGCGTCTCAATGTCGCTTCTCCTTCCATCTTTGCTGCGTTATCTTGTTCGTCTTTTGCTCGTCTACTATGGCTTCGGGTGAAAATCATAAGCGTAGCCGATAAGAGATTTCTTGATCGGCCCCAGGGTGGGCGCCAAATGTTCTTACCGGGGATCGATCGTGAGGGTCAATCTATTAGGCAAGATTGGTGAGCCTTCTTTGCTGGGTACGTCGGCTGCTCCGAAGTGGGGGTGGTACCTGCAAAAGAGACTCTGATGCTAAAGTTAGTCTTTGATAGTGTAATCATCTCATATATATATTGCACGTACCTTGATGTGAATCAGAGTTTTCCTCTTATGCGAGGGTAACATTGATTTGGGCCCGAGGTTGGTCTTGGCCCGATATATAGTGGGCCTCTGCTCTGGCCGATGTCATGTGGCGTATATCCGATGTCATTTAGCGCTTTAGTGTCGAGCTCAAGCTCGGCTTTGTGATATAGATAGTACACTAGCCCTCGAGCTCTGAAGACCGCGGGTCTAGGAGTTAATGTCGAGTTCAGTGACGGGTCGCGACTCTTCGTTTCTGCCTCTTAGGCGAATTTTTCTTTTTCAAATGATTTTTTTTCTTATTAGAATAAAAAAAATTGAAACTTTTTTTATATTATATTTAAAAATGTTTATGCACTTTAAATTTATTTAGTTATGTTAATTAGTTTTTAACCTAAAAAAATTAGATTAGAATTATTTACCTATTTTTAATTAGATATTTATTTTATTTTAAAATATTATTTATTTGGTTGTATAATTTTCCTTTAATTGATTAAATTAATTTTTTTTAAAAAAATCTTTATTTTTTATTTCATTCTTTTTCACTTTATTTTATTTATTTCTCCCTTTTTCGTTTTTATATATACCTTATTTCTCACCTATTTCTCTTTAACCAATCAATCAAATTTTCACTATAATTTCTTACTTATTTCCACTCATCTATTTTCACTATATTTTCACGTAAACCCTAAACCCTAAACATAATATTACATATTTTTAGTTGATATTTAAATAATAAATTTTGAAAACCACAAAATTCGACCAAACCAAACGACAAAAGATTGATTTGATTTGGTTCAAATTTTTTGGAGCCTGGGCTGGTGCGTTGTTGACTTCGTGGTCTGATCTATACGTCGGTACATGTGACCGATGTGCGGTAGACCTATGGGTCGTCGCCTTGGGCGCAGTCGGTGGCGGGGAAACCGAATGCCCTTCTTCCTCGAGGAGTTTCCACAAAAACTTTTTTCGAGAGGAAACCAAGGTGAGCATAGTTGATTTGATGAATATAAAGAGGCAACATCATGAGACATTGGACGAATATTTGAATAGATTTAGACAATTAAAGTCTCGATGTTACACGAATATTCCAGAGCATGAGTTGGTAAAAATCGCAGCCACTAGGTTGGCTTTTTCGATTCGAAAGAAACTTGTAAATGTAAAATTTAGAGACATGGCTCAACTAGCAGAAAAAGTGAGACAAATTGAACAAATTCAAGCAGAGAAAGAAAGGTTGAGAAAATTTGACAAGTTTGTTCGAAAAGAAAAAGTGGCGTATTTAGACAATATGGACTTTAACGATGATAATTTTGAATGTCTAAATGAAGAAATGGAAGTGAACTTAGCTGAATTACAACTCGGGCCAACCTATCAATGCCAATTATTAAAGCCTGGGGAAAATAATATAGAGGCCGGATCGAATAGAAAATATAGTTTCGATATTACGAAAGCTGATAAAATATTCGATATTTTACTGAAAGATAAGCAAATTATACTTCCGGAAAATCATAAAATCCCTCCTTTTGAAAAAAGAAAAGGGAAAACATTTTGTAAGTATCACAACATGTATGGTCACTGGACTAACAATTGTGTACGTTTCAGGGACATGATCGAGAAAGCGATTACTGATGGTCGCTTGGCTTTCGAGGAGAAAGAAATGAAAGTTGATACTGATCCATTCGCTGCACAAGCAGGATATGTGGAACCTCTCCCTATGGGGATCAATGTGCTTGAAATTAATATGGCTGACCTGGTTGTGAATGAAGAGGAAGTTGTCGAACCTATTTCGGATGAAAAATTGGAGGAGCTCTTAGAGGAGTTCGCGAAAGAACAAGAACCCATTTATCCGAAAGAGGGGGACAATTTGCTTGATTTCCTTTCGAAGAAGAAAGATGATGATCGGGAAGTTATGCTTTGCCCGACATGTAGCGCTGTGTTCGATAGATCAACGGCTAAGGCTTTCGAGGAATCTGAAGTTATGAAGAATTACAAAGCTGAGAAGGCTCGAGGAAAGTCGAAAGTGAACACTGGCATAGTGATGCGTCAAGTTCACATGCCACAAGGCAATGCTCCTATGGCTCCCATCGGAAAGATGGAGATGTACAACTCCTCCCGAGTTGGTAATACATACCTGCCAAATGCGCATGTTCCCATTGGGAAGTGGACTTCTCCACAAAGGCCCAATGTTGGAATGGGTCGAGGAAAGCAAATTGTGAACTACTCGAAAAACCCATTTTCTGGAGGCCCCCGATTCGGGTCAAACATGCAAGGAGGTGCTGGAAGAGGAATTAAATATCCTTTTAATGGCCTTACCAAGACTCAATGGAGAAGGCAACAGAGAATGAGAAA